CCCCCTTCCCTAAATTTTGAATTTTAACCCTAACGCCAGCTGACTTCAAAGAAAAAATTGACTACATGCCCATGCACTCCGGCCCCTTGGCTCAGGCCTGGGGGAAAATTTATTAATCAATAACTGCAAGAAACTGCCTTTAAAAAAATTTTTTGGGAGACAGCCCGGACACGACATCCCCCGTCGTTTTTTAAAATGATATAGCCCTTTTCCATTAAAAATGGCAATAAAAAAAGTTTTCAAAAAAGTTGATTGAATTTGGGGTGACGTTCCCCATATTTTTGAAAGGTTCCTTTAAAAACAAGATTGCCCCAAATACAGAATTTCAATGGTTGCAAAATCCCAGGTTTATCGGGTTTTGGGAAAAGGTCACCCCCAAACCCTCGCAATTGATGAACCCTTTTTCACGGGTTTTGGAACTAACAGAATTTCCAAAACCCCCCCCCCCCCCCAAAAAGCAGGGGAAAACTGACTGAAAAAAACCTTTGACAAGTGCGACCCACATCGTAAATGCGCAAAAAAATGCCATAAATTGAATAAAATTTAAAAAGTGGGAAATAAATTGATATTTAAACTTCCTTAAAAAGCGGAAAACCCAAAAAAGGACCCTACAAGGGACGGGTACAATACTCGCCCCCTTTTTCCCTTTGCGTTTTCGACATGGAAAACACACAAACATAGCCCCATCCAATGAAAACAAGACCTTCCAAAGGGGCCCCAAAGCAAAACTATAATGCCCAAAGAGGGGAAAAATTTTGGTTACGGAAGGAAGAAGGAAAAAAATTTAAGACCACTTTAAATCACTCAATCAGCCCAAGTCAAATTTGGGATACCTGGAGTGATAAAGTTAAAAGTCAAAAACTTTTCCCGTTCGGGAAAAATTTTAAGAATATTATTACAGATGCAAGGTAAATTTATTGGTTGGGTAGCTAGAAATTTCAAAAAAAGAAATGCCAAAAATATATTTTATACTCTTTAAAGGGTTGGGGAAAACTGCTTTAAAACTTATGGCCCCTTTCACAGCAGGCGAAATTGTAGAATTGGAAAATGTACATAAAACCTACACAGCTCGTATAAACTCATCTAAACATCAAAATTACTGGGAATGTTTACTGTACTCCTTGGAGCACAGGCGAGAAAAAAATATGAAAAAAATAAGAAAAAGCAAGAAACGTAAAAGTCGCTGGAAAATACCCCCAACGAGAAGCAGGGATGCCAAGAGTACAATGAGAGATAACAATAAGTGTAAGAGTCCAAGGCTTTTCAGCAGCATCCCATCATACAAAATGGAGGATTACCAATAGACCTCTGAATGTCTTTCAGTGGGAACTTCGTAAATTCCTCGAGTCATTTCCTAATCAGCCGCGATGTGGTTCGTATTTTGGACCGAGTGAGGCAAGCAGTAACAGACTAGTTGTTGAGGCCTTGATCCACTAGGCCTAGTCTGGGCCCAGACCGCGGGGGCGTTGAGCTCTGAAAACATTCTTCGGTATCAACTATCAGGAACCTAATTACTGATATGTAACTGGGATAGAAGATGTTAGCAGGCTTGCCCTTCCTAATGTCCTTTCCGCTGAATGCGATACTACTGACCTGCGAGGTACTCTTATTCTCTCTCTCCTCGGAGCACGGAGACTTGATAATGGTCCAGGAAGGAGCGAAACATCGTTTTAAGTTCCTCTCCTAAGTGGACTTGCTTCGGGTGAATTATTCCAGCCACAGTATTGATTTTTATTCATTTTTGGTTCTGTTTCCAAAACCAGTCTTGGTATCCAACACCTTCCACCAACCTTCAATTTAAATTACACTGAAGCAGGTACACAGAAATGTTACTTTTAACGTGTTAACATAAAATAACATACTGTCATACCGAATAGTAATGGAGACATTTTAAAGTATTAGATATTCTCATATACCGAGTAGTATACATGGAGGTTTCGGGGGTGAACGCCCCCGCGGCCCGGTCTGTGACCAGGCCTCATGGTAGACCAGGGCCTGATCAACCAGACTGTTACTGTTGGCCGCACGTAAACCGACGTACGAACCACAGGCCGGCTGGTCAGGTACTGACTTTAGGTGCCTATCCAGCGCCTTCTTAAAGACAGTCAGGGATTTATTGGTAATCCCCTTTATGTATGCTGGGAGGCAGTCAGTTGAACAGTCTAGGGCCCCTGACACTTACTGTGTTTTCTTAACGTACTCGTGGCTCCCCTGCTTTTCTTATGTGGTATGTTGCACCGCCTGCCGAGAAAGTTGCTTTTGTAGGGAGTAATTTTCGTGTGCAAATTTGTTACTAATCCTTCTACAAATTTCCGAGTGTATATTATCACGCATCTCTCGCCTGCGTTCCAGAGAATACAAGTCAAGGAACGTAACCGTTCCCAGTAATTTAGGCGTTTCATCGTACGTATGTATGCCGTGAATATTCTCTCTACATTCTCTAGGTCAGCAATTTCACCTGCCTTGAAAGGCACTGTTAGTATTAAGCAATATTCCAGCCTAGAGAGAACCAGCGATTTGAAAAGAATCAATGGGCTTTGCGTCCCTAGTTTTGAAGGTTCTCATTATCTATCCTATCATTTTTTTCTAGATGTGACAAAGTATTGTGACCTTCGAAAGCGAGATCTTCTGACATTATCACTCCCAGGTCCTTCACATTAATTTTCTGCTCTATTGTGTGACTGGAATTTGTTTTATACTCCGATACAGTTTAAATTTCAAGTTTTCCATATCGGAGTAATCGAAATTTCTCTTATTAAACTTCATATTGTTTTCTGCCGCCCATTTAAAGATTTGGTTCATGTCCGCTTGACTTCGATGGAGGAAATACTGTCATGCAAATTGAAAGGTCATCCGCAAAGGAAGCCACGGTGCTGTGGCTTACATCTCTGTCTATGTTAGATATGATGATGAGAACAGGATGGGGGAGCGTAAAGAAAACCTTTTTTTACCACTAGGCTCTAAAAAACCTCATAGGTGTAACGTCGAAACAAAAAGGTTTCGTTTTACTCTTGTCTTTCTGGCCATTACTGGCATCATAGGGTGGTGGGTAACCCCCTTTATCATTTGTAAGCATATTATGGAAATGATTAGTATTATTATTACAGTACCAGAAACAATAAATGAAGCAGTATAAATATCCGCAGCATCAACAACAGCAACATCAGCAGCAGCAACACAAACAACAGCAGCAGCTAGGGAAATAGCCCAACGACTAGGTACCCTGAATAGAAATACTGTCGTTCCTTCCCAAGACAAAAACTTCCTAGGACAAAAAAAAAAAAAAAAAGAAACGCACTCAGTAAAAGCAAAATCAGACAAAAAAAATATATACTCGTACTTAGGTTAGTTTATGGCTGAGTTAGATTACAGTAGTACTGAATTCAGAAGCCACTTCTGGCGAAAAGTTTCCACAAATGTTTTGAATTCTGCATACGTGTCGGTATCACCATAATAATCGAGTGCTGGGTTTGGTGGCTGATGATGATGGGTCTTCCGAGTGTTTATGTTCATAGAAGGCGTTGAAGTGCGCGCCCAGGTGAATTAGTCTTTTGTGTGTGTGATTGATTAGCTGAAACAGTTTGGTACCGAGTTGACTGTTTCTGCTATGGCGTTGGGCTGTGCTGGCAGTCATGTCAGCTAGAAGGAAGACGGTAATGTCGGTGTTGAGAGAGGTTGTATACGTTGACACGCATGTAAGAACGTGTGTATATAGTGATGCGTCCATGGAATGTGAATAATTTGACTGCAAGGCTATGAATGAGTAAAGGAAAGATAGGGAAATCATTTTAACAAAATGGCAACATCGACATCCGGATCCGAAGAGTACTGTTGTGTAGCCACAGTGTTTGATTTGCTTATAGTCCAAAGGCAGGTGCTGATCAAGAGTAGCACGTCAGGATTCTCTGACTCAACGAATTTTACCACTGGGTATACCTGGAGTAAACCTGGAGTGTGTTCCGAGGGTCAACGCTCCCGCGGCCCGGTCCATGACCAGGCCTTTCGGTGGAACAGGATCTGATCAACCAGGCTGTTACTGCTGGCCGCACGCAAACCGACGTACGAACCACAGCCCGGCTGGTCAGGAATTAATTTTAGGTGCCTGTCCAGGTACCTCAAATACAGCCAGTGATCTATTGGCCTGATTTTAAGACTACGTGGGAACTACGTAACCTTAAGACCCATGTTCGGAAGGGTTGGTGATAGTCGAGTTAGGGTCGTCTTCTAGAAAGGGAAGTGGATCCAAAAATATGGTGCCTTTAGGGGTAATCTATCTGAATATGCAGTCACGGACTAGTTTTCTAGATAAATTGTTTAGATAATCGACAAGTTGATAATTTAGACATGTGCAACACCTGGGTATCTTTATTGAGGAAACGTTTCACCACACAGTGGCTACATCAGTCCATACCATGTATCTACATTTCTGTCAGACACAGCAACATCTTGGGTTCTTAACACAGGGAATTCTTCACTTGCCTAACCTTTAGGAATGACCTACTTGCCCATTTGGATTTGTCAAATGTGATACCACCTACGGCTGCTTCACCTCACCTGTCTATAATATATAAGCCGCTTTGTGCATATGCTGTATTCTCAGGTAAAAGGACACAAGTGCAACTAATGTGACATTTTGTGTCACATTATTTGCACTTGTGCACTTTTACCTAACATATTGTCGGTAATTCTACCAACATTAATACATGCTGTATTCATTTCAAGAGTGATGGACTGGTTACATCAACTCCAGGCTGAGGGGCTGATTACCTCAAACTCCTTCCGTTCTTCGCCATTCTTTGTATGGACTGATGAAGCCAGTGCGTGGCGAAAAGTTTCCTCCATAAAGATACTCAAGTGTTGCACATGTGTCTAATTTATCGACTAGTTTTCTGTTTGGTGATGTGGGGAGAAGACAGTATACGGAGATGCACACACACTACATGTGTAAAGAAAAAAAAAAGGATAAACAAGAAACGTACACAACAATCTGATGTACTCACGTTGGTTGAGAGCTGAAGACACTGTCCAGACCTGAGCATGGAGTCCGAGTTTCACAGCAGCCAGAGTGATCCACTTGATTCCTGTAAATGATGAAAGTGAAGAGTAGCGCAAACACAGGGACGATCGCCTGTGTCTCACAGAGTATGACAAACACTTCAGTAAGGTCAGACACTATGATAATCATATACTCCAATAAATAAATAAATAAATAAATAAATAAATAAATAAATAAATAAATAAATAAAAAAAAGGCACAATACCGTGACTGGAACAACACACAAATAACCCGCACATATGTAAAGTAAAAGAACACAAGTGCACTTGTGTCCTTTTACTTTACATATTGTCGGTAATTCTACCAACTTTATTACAACCCGCACATAGAAGAGAGGAGCTTACGACGACGTTTCGGTCCGATTTGGACCGAAACGTCGTATCGCTCTGGCCACGGTATTGTGCCTTTTTTTGTTATTTAAGTAACATTATTGCATTAATGTTGGTAGAATTACCAACAATATGCAAAAGTACAAAAGGACACAAGTACAACTGATGCGAAGTTTTATTGTGGCAACGTTTCGCTCTCCAAAACTCCCGAGAGCGAAACGTTGCCATAATAAAATGTCGCATTAGTTGCACCCGTGTCCTTTTACTTAAAAAGTAGCATTATATTAATGGTACACAATGCCGGTAAATAGAAGAGTAAGGCACGAGCACCAGTTGAACATCTTTACTGTCCAAGTGTTTCTCCTACATAATAAGCTTCTTCGGTCGAATATATGGGCGACTTCATACTGGAGACAGCAGCAGAAGTGAGGGGGCCGAGGGACTAATTAACTCATCTTTACCTCTCCACTGCTGTCGCTAATATTCTACTGAAGAAACCCATTGCGTAGGCGATACCAACAATAAAGATACCCAACCATTACATATGAGTCTTACTCATCCACTTGCCGATGATGGGTCATTCCATGTAAGTGGACCAGGGGTCCCCACCTGACCATCTCCAATTTCGATAAAATTTTACATGAAGGTTGGCATTTATGTCATACTAACTTTGAGAAAGATTTAATTCATGATGTACAACAATAGTAATGTTATGGTCTTCAGAGTGGAGGCAAGTGAAAATTTCACCAACTCACACCACACAATCAGCAATGTCCAGGTTATTGCTGTGGCAGATCTACATGAGCAAAAGTTGTGACGTAGACATTCTATACAACTTTTGGAGCCGAGTTCAAAAATCATAATCCTAAAACTTACATGTTTTTACTTTTTTTTCATAGTGTGAAGCCGAAATAGGAAAAAAAAAAAACTGTCGCGTAAAATTGAATCTTAAATTCAGCTGTCTATATCTCCAAAGAAAAACATTATTTTAGTATGACATTGTTGCAGCCAGCTACCCAAGTGGACATAGTCACAATCCTAAAATATCAGACTCCAAACGTTTTTAGTACATGTGCTAATGGTACTTAAAAACGCCCTCACAGACCTCACGGTGAATTTTAGGCCATTTTTTAAGAAGAATAACAAAAAAGCAGCACGACCAATCTTAAAAAAAAAAAAACTAGAAAGTAGATTCTAAATTACAAGATTTTTTTTTTTTGATAGGCGTTTACCCTTGAAGGGAGAAAACAGGTTTTAAAATAAAGTGAGTTTTTGGCATCAGCATTATCTCTCGTATATTAGCTGCACTACAGTATAAAAAAAACTATGAAACAAGACAAGTTCATGTGTTGTGAGAGGGTGCTCTCAGGGCCGGATTACCGCATAGGCAAACTAGGCATTTGCCTAGGGCCCCGCGCATTTGGGGGCCCCGTGGTCCAAGGGGTTCAGGGGCTCATCCAAGACTGTGCACATGGTGCAAGTGCAAAGGGTCCCTACCTAAAAAGTTCAAGTGTTTGGAGAGTAAAATTGATTTTTAAAAATTAATCAAAACAAAAATAAATAATGAAATAAAATAAAATAAAAATAAATAAACCTAACCATAATGAACCTAAACACCCCTTTGTTTACATCAGAAACCACTGTGTTTTGTAATGGTGAGTATGGGAGATTCCCCCCCCCTTTCCGAGTTTACACTTTTTTAAATTTTTCTGTGACAAAAAACTGAAGGTTGTTTTAGAACTTGTTTAGGGATTTTACCGGAAGTTTTCGGGGGTCAACCCCCCGGGGGTCTGGACCGGGGCCTCCTGGGGCCCCCTGACACCATGTTGTCTCCAACGAAACCAATTAGACAACCCGGTTTGGGAAAAACCTGACTTTATGCTTGCCCAGGCCAGTTGAAACGCCTCTTTGTTAATCCCCCTTTATTTTTTGGGGGGAGTTGAACGTCCCCCCCCAAGCTTTTTTAGCTTTCGAAAAATTTAAAATGGTTTAAAAAATCCCAAAAGGGTTTTTTTAAGAAATAGAACTTTTTAAAATTGCCAAAAAAGGTTCATAGGTTTAAACAGTTCTTAAGGCTATCACCCCGCTTTTTCATGGGGGATGTTCATCTTGCCAATCTTTTTTGGGGATTTAAAAATTTTTTTTCCCCAAATTTAAAAAACCCAAAAAAACTTACCAAAAAAGACCAACAAAAAAGTTTTTTTTTAAAAAAATACATAAAAAACCCCAAAAAAAACCAAAAAAAACAAAAAAAAAGCATTTGTTTCAAAAACACAAAAAATCCAAGAAACAAAAATCATTCGTGAATCTTTTTTTTCAATTTGCGACGAAGTGATGTAGAATCTTTAAAATTTGGGGTGAAGGTTTGAAAAACCAAAAAGTTGAAGATTAGACACATTCTACAGATTTGAGGGCGAACACATCGATTTCCAGCTTGGGGGGGCATTAACCTCTTTCTCCTCCTCCCCCTTACCCTTTCCCCTTTGTATTGGACTGATGAAGCCACTGTGGGCAAAACGTTTCCTGAATAAAATTTTTTCCCCCCCAAATTTGCGGGGGGAAATAAATTGTCTCAACCCTTTTCCAATTTCCCCCCAAACCACATCAAAACTTTTTTGGGGCTTTCCCTGCTTCTTTAATTCTCATCCCTTACTAGGGTGGTGGGCTATAATTTGCAAAAAAAATGATTATTTTAGTTATAAAAATGGTAATATAAACCATTGGCATTGTTTTTGGGATTTGGGTATGTTTTTCTGTTTAAGTAAATTGAGATCAAGGGAAAGAAATAAAATATTCGTAGCCCAAATCATAACCTTGGAAAAGTTCTGTTGACCCCTTTTCTGGAACGTTTTAAATTTTTAGAGCGCACCCAAAAGGGGGCTACAAGGGCCTTTACCAAAAACACTTCCAGCTACAACTGTAAAGGGAAACTTCATTTTCTGTTTGAAAAGAGTAAAAAAACCACCCTTTCACAGTGACCCAAACAAATTGTGTAAACCTCCTTGTTTGACCTTTGAGTCTGATCAAACAAGAAATATTGTTTTCGAAAAAATTGTGATTTTGCCAATATGAAATCCAAAAAAAAATTTTTTTAAAAGAAGTACCTTGAATATAAAAATTCTTTATTTTCTTGAGTTTTATGATTTGATAGTCGCATATGCAATGATAAAATAATGGCGTGATTTATAAAGGGAAAAATAGGCTGTAGTGGTTATGTAAATATAATAGGACATGATGTCACTACTTTAATACCTAATCTAGTTACTATGCTGTCTTGAGTTTATTCTTTTTAAAAATGCATGATTAACAAATAGAAATGGCTGTTGTAAATGGTTTTGGTTGTCTTGATGTATTTCCCCTATTAAATTTAATCTAAATAGCCAAATGATTTAGACCTTAAACGGGGCTCACACCGCCCCCCCCCCCAAACGGGAAGGGGGTCCTTCCTTCCTGAAAACTAAAGGGGCCCCGTAAATCTGAATAGCCTGGGGCCCCGAGACTTCTTAATCTGGGCCTGGGGCTCCACCCACCTTGTAGTGGGTGGGGCGGGAGGAATGGAGAAAAGGGCAAGGTTCTTAAACTAAGCTTTAAACAATAAGACATCAAAAAGATCCCAACGAAAAAAAGTCGCTTCTCGACTTTTTTCCGATTATTGAAAGAAATTTTTACACATGTTACATTAACTGTAATCGTCAAAATTTGTGAAACTACTTAAGTACTTGTCCTAAATAAGCTTAATTTGGAAAAAAAAAAGGCACAATACCGTATGGAACGATTCACAAATAACCCCCCTTAAAGAAGGAGCTTAAAGACACGTTTCGGTCCGACTTGGGGCCATTACAAAGTCCACACTGGAAAACGGGGGGGGAAAGGTGGAGGGATGGTCTGAGGTTTTGGGAAATAGATGAGGGAAGGGGGGTGGGTGGAGAAGGACGGTAAGGGGGGTGTGGCTGGAGAGATCAGGGGGATGGGGGAGAAATGTGGATGGAGGGTAAGAGAAAAAAAACGGGGGCTGGGTGTAAGCAGGAAGGAAACGGAGGGTGGGGGTAAGCAGAGGAAAACGGAGGCTGGGTTTAAACAGAGAAGGGAAAAGGAGGCTGGGGGGGTAGTAGAGGAGGAAACGGAGGCTGGGGGGTAGGAAGGAGGAAACGGAGGCGGGGTAGGTAAGGAGGGAAAAAGGGGGCTGGGTGTAGGTAAAAGGAAACGGAGGCTGGGGTAGGTAAGAGAAACGGAGGCTGGGGGGTAGGTAAGGAGAAACGGAGGCTGGGTGAGGGGAGAGGAGGAAAAGGAGGCTGGGGGTAGGTAATGAGGGAAAAGGAGGCTGGGTAGGGAAGGAGGAAAAGGGGGCGGTGTGGTAGAGGAGGAAAAGGGGCGGGGTAGGTAGATGAGGAAACGAGGCTGGGGGTAAGGGAAGAAGGGAAAAGGAGGCTGGGTTTTTAAACAAGAAGAAACGGAGGGGGGGTGTAGGGAATGAGAAACGGAGGTGGGGGGTAGGTAGAGGAGGAAACGGAGGGTGGTGTAGGTAATGAGGGGAAAAGGGCTGGGGGTAGGATGAGGAAACGGGGGCGGTGTTTGGTAAGGAGGAAAAAAAAGGGGGTGGTGAGGAATGAGGAAACGGAGGCGGGTGAGTAGATGAGAAACGGGGGTGGGTGATGTAAGGGGGAAAGGAGGCTGGTGTGGAAAAGGAGGAAACGGG